TGTATAAAAACTTGTGAATAAATCTGTACAAAACAACTCCGTGTCTGTGTGTTACTCACACCCGACGAAGCCACACTTATATGTGTATATTATGAATAATTAAATATTTAAAAGACACTTTCCCTACTGCTCACAAGTTAGCCAATTTTTATGTGCGGAAGTTGGCGAGCCTAACCTGCAGCTGTACCTGGGAACACTAGCGCCTCCTAGTGTAGCACTCTCGAGCTTCGTCCCCACGTTTTGATGGAAAGTTGCAAGGACCTGTGAATGACTGCGGTGAGGCGCTGACGTCACTAAGCAGAACGACGGGGAGGTGGAAGTCGATGGCCTAGCCAAGCAGCTGAGGACCGATCCATTGTGTTGGTGTACGAGTGGTACGCAGCAGAATGAAAATGGAGAGGGCAAAACGAAGGTCCCTCTCCCCTCCTACTAGCTACTTATGCAGAAGAAAGTCATTAGATGTGCCTTTGTGAGGAAAAGGAAAAATAAAGTGTAATGTGTTGCGCGACGACAGCACAGCTCTATGCGTTAAGTGGTCGTGAACACCTTTAATTGAATTCGTAATTCCCTATCATCTGCCGCTGATATTTTCGCTCGCCAAAGACGCCGCTGCCAATAAATCTCCAATTCTTGAGGGTACTTCATGAATAATTAACACACACTTCAACTTAAAGATTTGTATTCTTTCAAAATTCAACAAACACGATGTCCAACTATCGGCTACAGACCAACTCCGAATTTCCTAGGATTTTAGTTTTATCTACTTTACCTACGTATCCAAAATCTTTCTCGATTCAATTAATTTCCTACAGAAGGCATTTTCAGCACGAGTTTCTTAAATAATTGTCCATTAGTATCCACGGACGGTCTCCATGCCTGATCATATTTTTTTTCTCAAACTCCCCATCAATAAATTACATGACCCCCAGAAACCCTTCACACGGATAATATTGGGTCACCTACGAAGATCTTAAATATTTTCTGTTAATTTAGGCGATCAATATGTAACATAAATAAAGTCAGTATCGCAAACCGTATTTGGCCATAAACGTATCCCCCTTCTGCTCCCTAGAACTAGAAGCGGTAAATAAGTTCATAAGATATTAATGGAATCATTCTTAAGATATTTCATATTTTTATGGAAAACTACAATTTAAGTATTTTAAATATTGCGTGACATTTTTATTAACCGTTGAATAGCTTTAATTGAAGAAAGAAAACGACAAAAATCAGGAAGACAAATAGGTTCAGAACAGTGATGGGCTGCAATGAAGAAGTAATATTAACAGTTTACATTATGTTATAACCATAACTTCGGTCTCGAACACTGGCCAGCTCTCTAGCTAAATCGTTCGACACCAAGATCTGATCGGATCGAGTGTACCCGATCGGTTGGACCGGTCATGACCGAACTGTTGTTAGATCGCCATTGATTAGCATCGATTCGATCGAAGGCGGAACTAACGCGGAGGCAGGGCACGCCGTGAAGAAAGAGCTGCTTACTCGAGTCGCCAGGTGGGCGCTGCAAGCCAGAGGTCATCTAGCCAGCGAGGATCAGGCGGCAGAGCGCTCAGCGAGAGATCTGCGTCACCGCGCTGCAGCAGCTGCGCCAAGTGCTGCGGCGACCGCGCCGGCACGCGCACCACCCTGTACAACGCCCAATCGCTCCATGACGCGACCGCCAAATGACGCGACCGCCAAATGACGCGACCGCCAAATGACGCGACCGCCAAATGACGCGACCGCCAAATTACTCGAATGTAGGTTCTTTGTACTCAAATGGGGGCTGCCAGCCATCAACGATTCTGTACTCACGTGAAGTTGAAGAGATCCTGCATGAAGCCGAGCATTGCACGGTTGAAGCGGACCTCGGCGCGACGAGCGACTTCCTCCGCGGGCAAGAGCGCCTCATCGACAGTGGGCTCAGGGCCCACCACACGCGCGTAGCCCGGCGGCCCCGCCTGGCGAAACGTCACCGAAATGTCAGAAATGCTTATAGAAACTGACATCACTACATATTTGCATCATTTTGCTTCAGCAGAGAAAAGTGATGGTCCACACGATATGTAATTTGAACAAAAAAAATGACGCGTGCTCAACTTTTCGGTACCGACTTCATCTCCATTTTCTGGACCTTTATCTCGTTTACTCTGTACGTCATGAGATTTGCCCATTTTGTGCAGTTTTTAAAGCGTTATAGAACGTTGAATTATAATGTGAAGTAATTAGAGTGATGAAAAGTCATGTTCTGTGTTCTTATGTTTCTGTCCTAAAATCTCCACTTAATTTGTTATGATTTTTTGTTAGATTCCGGAAGTGTTTTCTTGTTAGATGCTATGTAAAACGGCTTGATCTTTAGCACTATTTGCGGCGTCCACAGGACATATTTTCATCGCGATTACGTGCAGAAAACTGTGATAAAATATCAATTTTTTCATGTGGGTTTGTTACCAAAACCATGCAGCGTAAAAAACGAACGTCCCTATTTCATTAATTTTTTTTTACAGACAAATAAAGTAAAAATGACCGTTTAAAACGCGCTTAAGTTCTGATTCATACGCTTCCCTTTGGCGAACGAAAGGATTTTAGCAAACACTTGTGCACAGTACCGCTTCTGATATCAATATTGGACATTTTGAATCCATTGAGTAAACCTAAAAATAGCGGTGCTAAAACAGCTAATTTTGCATACTATTGACTAGAAATGCGCGAAATTTGAATTTACAAATTCGTCTTTCGACGATACAAAAAGTGCACCGAAAAATGGTACCATCGAATCTATGTTTAAAGTCCATTGCTACACAAGAGGAAAATTTTAAAGACAAAAATTGGAGCCGTTTCGGAGCAAATAATTGTTTAAAATTTAAAAATTGGCTATGATTGACGCAAAATTACGGGGAAAATCTCATATTTTCGAAAAATTGAACGTTAACGTATTTGAAGTTTGTTTTTGATTAACACACTTCATTATGAAAAAAATATTTCCATAATTACAGTTGTAGGAAGACACCGAAAACATTTTTTGCAAATTTTGAAAAATCAGGGATTTTTAAACGGAAATGAGATCTGAACTTAAGCGATCTCAAAGCAATCCGAAGTCAAAATTTAACCAAAACATTTGGTGACTTTTTTGAAAATGTCCTAGGGGCTTCATATAAATACCTCCCACAATTAAAATATCATTTTCAAATTCAAGTGGTCGTGACATTAACTAGATCGATTGGGGAATATAAATATTGGTAAAAATCCTGCTTAAGTTTTAGCCGCTAACGTAAGACGGACCATCTTTTTACTGTCAATCGATTTTTCTGTATGAAGGCCCCATAAAACATGGTTTCTAACAACAATGTTTTAGAGGATGTGCTTTACTATATGTACTATATAGTAAAATTTATCCACTTTTTCGTTTTCCTCGCAGCATTTCAATGCTTTCTCTACACTGCGTAAGCAGGAGCGAGAAATTAAATATGTAGTGTTTGAGTGTTCATATCCCTCATGCCCATTTGCTTATGATCAGGGAACGTATTTCCAATTAAATACATATTTCACTAATAGAGGATACCTGCATTCAATATTTTATGCAACATACTTTGGAATAATTACATATATTTTATCTATGAAACACATTTCTTACATATTTGATTATATTAGAATGTATTAACAGGTCGAAACGAAATATTTCAATTAAGAGTTGGCTCATAAATGTCACTGAAATGGTTTTTCTGTAGAACAAAGCCAAGTAATACTGCCCTTTTATGATCTTCGGTGAATTATCGAACCTACTCCTTGTTTTTCTTAAATTGTTAACTCGGAATTGAGGAAGAACTGCTGCAACGCAGAAGTTATCGCATCCACATGATGGCTTATATTTCATAGAGCCCGAATAGATCTCCATAGAAACCTGAGAGACGTTTTTTATACACCATTACCTTATCGCGCTTCCAGCATCTCGCCTAGAAATATACACCACAATGTATCGATGCAAAATTAGGAGCCAATGCGTGCAAAATTAGTAACCAAACCACTTCAGAATGTCCAGTTACAAAAAGGTCCACCTACCAAACGTCTAGAACAGCAAACGTCCGCTAACAAAAATGTCACATAATAATGTCCAACAAACAAAAATGTCCAAAAATGTTTTTATGATATTGTGCTGCATTCACACAATAAGAAAAGGAGATAATTACATTACACTATGGTGTTGTGTCTTGAATTATAGATAGCGTGTGCAACTGTGTGTAAGGGGTGGGAACAAGGACGAGACTGGGAGAGCCAAGCGCGGTCTGTGACGACGTTTGTTAGGGTACACTTCTCAGACATTTATCTGATATTGATCGGAGAATTTTTTCCTTGGGATATTTTCAGCCGACAGCTGGGTACTCTTTACTTCCTGATGGGACACGTATTCGACCATACACTATATACCAACACACTTGCGGGCTCCTCTGATCTGGGGTAAGCAGAATGCTACGCTCTCCGCGACAATAGATACAATTCATATATGAGAGACAAGGACCTCAAGGAGAGGAACACCCTTCGGACAGAAGTTCAGAGTCGGTACACGTTCTCAGACACCTATAACATCCAGGTGGGCATTGATCGAAGATACCAAGGAAAATTACCGATCAGAGCAGCCGCAGCTACAATTCACCTCCAGTGAGTGGTTGAAATCAATCTAGCTATCGAGCTAGTGTCGAAAATTCACCACCGTAGGGACTAACACTACCTCCCGTTGCCCTCGCGATCAACGTTACTGCAGAGGCTACACAAGTTATGCCTGATTTAGGGGTAGCATGGTCCCTGAATACTCCCTACGAGACGCAAGTGAACGTCACTGCATATTCAGTGTCGGTTCTCCAATGAAAATGTAGATCTAGAACTAAACCAATGTTCAATGATCTCATTGAGTACATTCCTTGAACTCCTACACAAAACAAAAATATGAAGATATCACTGATTGGTTAATATGCCATGGCATCTTCCAATACCATATCACGCCACCCTACAGATTTCTATTTTTTCCTGTGTCTGGGCTATCGTCGAAGTCTTCAAAGTCTGAGCTATCGTCACAGGTATTGAATACAGCAACCATAATGTAAATAAACGGTACTAAGCCATTTTATGTGGCAATGATAAGAACTATCAAAATAGAACAAAATTTACATCCACTCTCGTCATGCACGACTATCTTTGGAAATTTAAGAATACTGAACAGTTACACATATGACTTCTATAAAACACGATTTGGCCTTCAAACAGAATAATTGGATCATCTTTCGTTTATGGTGCCACTCAGTGATTTCTATCAACTGACAGGATTCTATTCACTTCGAAGTGTTGCACCGGGTTGTTATCGTTCACCAGACAGTAATGGTTTGTAATTATTACGTTACATTTAAATTCGCCCTTCACAATGACTAACATTTTACACCTACGAAACTTTCAAATGCAAGCGAAATAACTTTGCTTTCCCTCTTGCGTGGTGTCTAGTGAATCTTTTTTTATATTGCACTTTTCGTGTTTTTGGTGAAGCTGGTGTGAATTGGAGATGTATCACGTGAGTGCGGACATTTTTTATACATTGCATACTTAGGGATAATTTAATTTGATTCAGTGGTATATGAAAGTTAGGCATCAACCACTGGCTACAATTCAGGGACCCTCAGAAAGCTCACTCGACACCAATACAAGGAGTGATTGTAATATTTGTTTCGAAGTATGTGGCGTAGAAAATAGGGTGGAAAAAAGTAACACGATTTGTTAAATGCTTCTTTTAATTATATTAAAAACGTATACAACCGTATAAACGAGAAGGGCTTTGAAAATTACATTCATTTTATTTCTAGAATTGATTGATTTGTGGGTTAGCAGGGGCTGGGGCGGTAGCCCACAATAGAGTTATCTTAGAGTAATAATATAATAATAGTATTAGTATTATTGCGATGTGCGGGACAAAATTATAACTGTGCGCTTTCCTTAAAAACGTCTCAGAGTCTATTGTTGTGTAAAAATGAGAAAATACCACCCCAAGGTTACGAAGGCCAGTATATACGGTGGAGGGGTGTCTTCGTGTTAACCACACGAACCCCTTATTCTACGGCCGAGAGGTGGCCACCGCTGGTCGTACAAGGCCTTTTTTTTTAAACTTTCCCCCGCCAGTAGCCCTGGCGAGGCGGGAGTTTATTTTCTTGTTGGGGTACAACATACGCCGCAGCTCTATGGCTTATGCGGCAAAGAAGGGGGCAGTGCTTACTTACTAGCTTATTTTTAACTTAACCTATGTATGAAGCCGGCTTTTGGCCGGCAACCTAAGATTAGCACAAGACTTTGTATTTTCCCAAATGCTTATTAGTTTTAGTTTTCTTGGGTATCGTACAAGACCCTTATCGGGCTGTCGAGCCAAGGGACAGGACAGTAGTATTGTGAGATACCAATGTTTAGGGGGGGGGGCACTTCTTTCATTACGCTGCAGGATACTCATCGGCTGGGAAGGAATGTACAAAAACGTTGCTCGCCGCTTTCCACGCAAGAAATATGGCCTTATTTACTGGAAAGGATATTTGTTGTTCAGCCAGTCGCTGCTCTCGTGAAGTGGCAAAAGAGTGCTATCTCATGACGATGCCGCACCCACTTATTGCATCCAAAACATATTGCATCTGAAGTATGAAGACTGGGTCAATGAAATATAATATATCTACTTAAAACGTCTCCCACATGCCAGTTTTATCAGTTTGCACTAGTAAAAAACACCCTCGATACTTTTATTCTCACACTGTATTTAGTCACATCCTACATAGTGTGAAACTCCCGAAAAGCATAATAGAAAATATTTTATACATAAATATATTTCTAATTAATATTCGTGTCTTAAAATACGCCAACAAAAAAG